ACTTTTGCTTACGCGCCTATCCAGATTTCAATGAGTCTGCTAGGTATTCCACTAAGAATGCAGTTAGCCTTCATGTAAGAACAAGTCTTGATGTGCAGTGAATAAACACCACTGTTTGTTTAATTGCGAGATTAATACGTGCTTCTACACACGTTGAGATCGATCGTCATGGTGATAATCGCTTTAATCTTCAAATTTGAAAGTTCTTTGTACATTTGCGGTTAAATAACATAAGCAGTCGAATATCTTTTGTTATTCAACGTTTAAAACAACAACACTATCAACGTGGATCTCTTATCTCTTCAATGGAGAGAATTAAATCCTTAGTCTGCAACTCTGGCCAAATGGACTTCATACTTTTTCCAAGGATTGTGAATTTACTTCAACATGATGGTGTCATCAGCGAAAGGTATTGTTATTAAATATTCACAAATATGTGCATGGTCATGGGTACACGCGGCCACAGCGATTCGAATAGCCAACCTTTTAATTGAAAAGGAACCGTTTTCCCAGTGTTTTACCGCTATTTTTATTTAGTTTAACGTATCGAAAAGGACCTGAGCAATTTCCAAGTATAAGTATTTGAATGAGAGTATCTAGTGATGGAGGCAATGTCGTGTCGTGTTCATTAGTTTTTGTGTTTGTTAGCCATTGCAAATGTGACCATTTTATCGGATCTAAATTTCAAACAAACCACCTTAAAGAACCCGAAATGTTAGCACGTTTGAAAACGCGTCATATATGTATACATTAAAATCCTTCGAAAGATTGTTAGCCATCATTATCATTCACAGCTCAACTTCAACCAATTTGTGCCATTCACCATTCTCATCTATCTACAGCCTGCGACATTGACGATGTCGTCTACCCAACTCACTACAAGATGCCCTACGTTTCTGTAGCCACTTCTTGACCACTATTTGGATGCCGCTTTACTTCATTTGGCATCACCAGGATTAGCAATATATCCTGCTCAGCTCCATTTCAGCCCTAGTACTCAACCTTTCCAACACATTGTTACTATCTACTATAACAGAAAGCTCCTCAAAAATTGATATAGAAATAGGAAGGTGTAACACATTTAAATATTATTCAAATCCGTCAAAATTCTTTATTGAAAATTGTATCTTACATCATTTAAACAGCATTCAAAATTACAATTTAAAAAGTGACAATATACCTCTACAATATTTGTGGTGGAAGTTTTGCAGTAAACATGTAGAAGTTAACAGCAAATAGAAAACCGTTTACAATATTGTGCCCGTAAAGACATTTGACACCAGTGAAACCTAATTCCAGACTCAACTTCCATAAATGTAACCTAGGTTAGTTAAGAAAGTTGTTTCTCTCGAAACGGGTTCTTTGTTATATTAGCTTAAACGCTTTTGTGCCTAGGCCATAAGCAGTTTATAGCCCTTTTCGAAACTAACACTGCAAACTTCCTGTTTGTAGAAATCAGAGAATTAACAGGCGTAATCTGGCATAACAGCAGCAGTTATAGAACTATTTATGGAGTCAAACTATATTTTTGAACTTTGTTATCATGGAGCTCACACACGTACACACACTCTGAAATATCCGAGTAAGAATTCCGGGGTAAGCAACTTGTAACTAGTGCTAATCAGATTAATCTCTTCCTATAATCTTTGGTATAATAAAGTTTATGTCTCTGGAAATATTGGCGGAAACATTATTCTCGTCCTACAACCGACAACCGGCGTACTGACAACCGGCAAACTAACGAACCGGTTTGAGCTCGGATTCTTTTGCAACAAATAACTTTTAATGAAGTTAATGATCAGATAACTTGTTTGTCGGTTTCCTTGGGAACATCAAACCAAATCTTAGGGAGGTCAAAAATTTAACAGACGTAGAGCGCATTTGAAATAGCATTGCTAGTTTTTGGGATCTGTAGTATGTTCTACAGTTTCGTAAGACTCTCTAATAGCTGTCAATTTCAGAAATAAATGAAGTCATAGCAGACTCATCCGAAAAACAGAGTCCGATATGATTATATAGCAAAAAGAGAGTTACGAGAATAATTACTTATTCAAACTAAGGCCTATGTAAAGGTGTTTTGATAATTTATATATCTTATTTCGTTTCGGAAATATAAAATCGAACAACGGTCGATCTGACATCCACAGCGAAGAAGAACGAACGAAATGTACTGTGTCCTGAGAACAAGTAGTTTTGCACATAGGTCTTTGTTCTACAGATGAGTCGAATCATGCTAAATATTACGATTATACGCTTGCAGAATCTATATTCATAAATTTTCTTTTATTATCCTGTAAAAGCAGTGGTAGCTTAATGGTTTGACCTACCGTCACTCAAACAGAGCCTGTGGATTTGAATCCGGGCTCCCATTATCTAAATTTTTCGAAATTTAATTTGAAATTCTAAATAAAAGGAAAACCTCGTGATGAAACCTGCACGTCGAAGATGGTTCTCAACTCTAGTCGTGAAGTCACCAACCCACATTGGGCTAGCGTGGCGGAGAGCCTAAAACCCTTACCTGAGAGGAGACTCGTGCCCAGCAGTGTGATTTATAACATTAATGGGTTGATGGTGATTCTGTAAAAGGTTTAAACGTTACAAACCTCTAAGCGTTTGTTTTAGTTCTGCTTGCATGTTAGATAATAAAAGTTTTGTTTATGTTATGGTTCAGACACTGTCTATTTAGGAAACGGCCTTTCGTAAGATACTTCGGGGATCATCTGCTTTAAGACTTGGTGCCTTAGTAGTTAGTGTGATTCTTTCGCAAAAAGTGTAACAATTAGTATAGTCACGTTTCGGCAACTACTTTTTATCACAGTTTTTTTTCTATACCGACCGAAGGACCGTTTGAAATTGTACTTTGAAACATAAAATTGATTCTCTATCTGGGCGTAATCCCAAACCCATATCCGAATATTGTTTCGAAAATTTCACTTTAATAACTTACCCCTCGTAAGCTTCGTCTCTTTATTGCTCACTCTTCACGTTTATTATAATTGTAGGAACGCAACCTGTTTCTAACAAGGTCTTGTCTTGGTTGAACTGAGTGTGGTAAGCATTCGTAGTGTTAAACAAGTTGTCCTGGATTCTGTCTTAAGCGACCTCTTTCATATCTTTCTAGGCAAATCGTAGAAAGTTACTTGATAAATAAATCCAGGAGATCCATTGCGTCTCCCTGTGTATTAAACAGCATTATGATGTTGGTACTGAAGTCGCATGCTAAAGCATTGCGAATGTGTTCGTCCAACCTTGTTGTTGCTGGACCCAGACAAAGATGGAAATGATCTTGGCGAGCTCATTGAATGAAAGAAGATTTGGTTTACTGTAGTATGTCAGCGGTAACCAACGTCAGTTGTAAGGCTGGGATGTTCAAGCGAAAAGTGACTTGTAATAATTGGCATTGGGTAGCAGTTTTTCAGCAAAAGAGCTCGTCCAGTGAACTACTGCCTACCTATTTCTGTCGCCAAGCAGTAACGAGAGCATTATTGCATTGTGAAGGTTTTGCTTTATATCTCAGGGTGACGGGCGCAATGGCATTACTCCTCAGATCTTTGCGGTTTAAAGCTCTGTGTGGCATTGTAACTGCTATGAGAAGACGTGTCGCTGACCAACAGGTACACGACTAGTTCATTATCATGTAATAACACTAACATGGTGTAAGTTAATGGGTGCGTCAGATGCTACGTTCCCCTTGACGACCGTTTTGCGACGGTTTAGGGCATAATTAAAAATATAAAACTGTCTGCTACGGTCGCAACATTCTTGGTCCTCAATTTAGCAGAGGTATATGTCAATATAGACGTAGCTGTGTGAATGGACCGCAACGGAATTCCAGCTGACTCAGTGCCCATGCCCTCTGCAGTGCTGCGATATTTAAAATAAACAAATGACGAGTGCGAAATTTCTATCAGACTCTGTGACCGTATCTCAGACGCGCGTGACAAACGGGAGAATGGCGGACCTTTACCGCAAGGCCGTTCGTTTGCGCTTGCGCCTCGGTAGTACGGCTACACACTAAAGTAAGTTACGCTGTCACTTTTTGATGTAAATTTGAACACTAAGCCAAAGGTATAAGATTTGATTTTCAATGCGAAATGTAGACAGTACCCTGTGCCGTGTGGAAAGAAATGCTAACGCATTAGTCATATTTAGTCAGTTCAACTATAACTTGATTTACAAGTTTGGGTGGTTTATTCACTCTTTTGCACGAAAATTTAACGCAAATTAAGTACCTACATATGTGATACCTTTTAAGTACTCTCGTGAATTTCTCTATTTTGAAGTGGCGCAAATGCAGACAACAATAAAAAGCAGTTTTCATACCACGTTATTTTTGGAGATTAATTAGAAATCAGCCAGTAGCATGTGTATTGAACAATTAGGTAGGGTTTGTTATAATAAAAAAAAAATGTTTTCATGTTTGTAATAAACGATTATCTAGCAGGAATTTTTGTTGTAAGAAATCACACGGGCTTGTTTAGGTCAATAAAATGTTTTTTTTTTAATAATATCAAGTGACGAGACGAAGAAGTCTGTAATTTCACCAGCACCCTTACCCTTCAAAACCGGAACACAGAAATGCTCATATTATTGATTGCTCTAATACTGCTACTAAAAAGACTTAAGTATTGTTTAGGTGAAAGAAGGTACATAATTCTTGTGTCAATTATAGATAGTCTAGTTTATTAGTAATTACTTAACTAGGTGATTAAATCACTAAACGGAAATAATATGTAATTAATGACTACCTATAACAATCAATCATCAGTTTTACTTTGTTAAGTAACTAATTGCTGTTAAAGTTTAAAGAACTTTATTATGTTAGTAAGTTAATCAACTATATTTAGAATGCTCTAAAACGCGAAGAAAAGGAAAAAAAAGAACTTAAAGCCAAAGTTAGATACGTAAGTTTATTAAAAAAAACCAGGTTGTTCATTATGTACACTTGAATTACATTACATGTTAGCATTATACAAGCTTTAACGTACGTTGGGACTGACCTTTCGATTGTAGTTTATAAAAATCACACGCAACGTCGCATCCTGCAGCTTTTGTCAGAACAACAAAAGTAAAAAACCTAGGTGCGTCTCAAAAAATTCAGACAAAACCCACAAAGTTCGTGCACTATACCGTTACTCGAACATGAATCTGCTAACATCACTAATTATCACTTAATTCACACTAAAATCACTACAGCACACACGGAATATGCTATTATTTTAATAATACTATATAATTAACTAATACTTATTACAAATATCGTGTAAATAACAGTTAGGACCTACGAAACTATGTGGACACATAACCCGCCACGATAGAATACGGTTCGCAACTGACATGTTTACAAGTTACATTGCATTGACAGAATGTTTTTTCTCTCTTTCCCACACAAATTATTGCAGTAGTGTGTGAAAGAGACGCTAAAATTACCGTAATACCAATTTGCACGAACACTAATGCCGTGGTAACCGGAGGAACTAGATAGCAAGAAAGACCATCTATCGATTTGACTTAGTAGTACGAGATAACTCCAGTAGATGGCGTTATGAAAAGCGAGAAAAACAAACTAAGTTACAGGTAAAGTAATCTTAGATGTTTTTTACTGAAATGATAGATGGCATTTCTTGGATGCATCTTCTACTTTGTAGCTTTTATAATAAATATAGTCATTGAGTTGGTTTTCATGACAATATTTACTTCGTCTCTATCATGTTTTAAAAAATGTTAAATATATACATCTGTACTTACTTACCCCGTTCTGGGTTAGCGACCTGAAGTATGGGTCGTGTGTAGGTAAATAAATATATTTGTATTATTTTTTATTACGTATTTAGTAGTTCCTATTGTTATCTTATACGAACTTTACAATGATATATTTTGAAGGGTGTTATCCTTTTTTTATATTTGGTGGTAAAATAAAGTGAATTATTTATTGTTCCTCTTTTATCAGTACAAAAGACGCAGCGTTGATATTGAAAAGTTATGTGTTATAATTCCTAGGTTTATTGATAGAGTGGTTTTTATTTATTTCAAACTTTACATCTACCATAACAGTTATAACCAATGCGATAGTGTAAAAATTGCTATGAAGATTCTAACTAAAAATATTTAAAAAAATAGAAATTAACTAGGTACTCGCTAAAATTATTACGAAATATGTACATAGCAAAGAACGTATGTTGTTATCCTTGTGAATTTACACTCTAAATCATTAATATTATAGGAAATGAAACTATTTTTCCGGATTTAAATCGCGTGTATTTGTTTTTTCAAACAAACCGACGTTTCTGGCCCTTTACAGGTCCCATGGTCACGATTGACTGAGGTGGTACAGTCTTCAACCAGTTATGTCTAATATTGATGTAAACCACCTTATTTTCTATAGTTACAATAGTTATTAATTAAATACCTTATTTTTAATTTTACAAAGAAAACATTCCAATTTACGCTACATTAAGTTTTACAAATTATTTTATTGAATGAATTTTTATTAAGTTCAATTTATTATTAATAGAAATTAGAATAAACTAAAACATATTAATTAGTACTGCAGTCTTATGTCTGTTTGGGATTTTTCATTAGAGGAAATACTGGATCCCAAACTGGTGGTACGGAGAAACCATCTTCCCTGTTGAAATTAGGATGTTTTTTAATTTCAATGGCCTCTCGCAGCAACCTGGGTAGATAACGGACTTCTTTTGCAAGGACCTGTGGTTTGTCAAACTTGCTCGCAGACTGCAGACTTGTTTACGCGACGGTGTTTCACATCAGCTCTATGTTCTTTGACGCGGGTACAAATACTTCGCTTTGTTTGTCCAATATAAGAGAGACCACACTCACAGTCAAGCTTGTAAACTCCTGCATCCTGTAAGGGGATGTTACATTTCACGGGTCTCAGGAACTGAGAAATCTTCCTCAGGGGCTTGAAATAGGTCTTGATAGATGCACGCCTGAGGACTCTTCCGATCTTGTCTGTAACACCTCTCACGTAAGGTAAGATGGCAGGTCTTCGCTCGACTGTTGGTGGTTTCACACGGGACCTGCGGCATTGGCGTGGAATCTTCAACTTATTCGCATGTAGAACTTGCTTTATATGCTGAAGTTCCCCTGCCAGATGATTACTGTCGCAGACACCATGTGCTCTCTGAAACAAAGATTTGCCCACGGTAGCTAACTGGCTAGGATGGTGATGGGAATTACCATTGAGGTACCTATCTGTATGGGTTTTCTTTCGAAATACAGTATGGCCTAAGGTGTTATTAGGATTTCTTTTAATTAAAACATCTAAGAAAGCTAAAGTACCACAATTCTCTTGTTCCATAGTAAATTGGAATTATCATTAATATTATCTTAGAACTAAAGAATTTAATTAAACCATCTCATACCGTTTTTTACAGTATTTGGTATGTTTATTGTCTGAGGCAAACAACTTAGAATAAAATAAAAAATATTATAATGGCGGGCTATTAGGTATAAGTTTGGAAAATAACGGTATTAGAGATACTTAAAACTTTTAAAAGTTGTTTCATTTAAGAACCATTATTTTTATCACAAACTAAACCTATCAACCCTGTCTATCACGAGTCTCAATGTAGATGGGAGTTCGTGTTCTTTATGTACATAGTCTTAGGTTATATATTAACTATACTTTAATTAATTAAATGTGTGTTTGATGATATGTGTTTGACTGTATCATGTTATGGCAACGTTTAATTCAGTCCACGTTTTAAGTACTAGTAAACTTACATTATGTCTAATTTATAATAGTAATCTGTCACACCAAATACCTGGTCTCAGAGTACATATAACACCTCAAAACTCATTCATCCCCTAGTTTGCCACCCTCTAAGGGTGGAATATTTTCTTGAAATTTAAATGGGACTACTACTAAAGTACCCTCTTTCCAACAAAAAAGAATAATTAAAATCGGTACACAAATTAAATCAGAGTTGTCGCGTAAATTATATACAAAAACAAATATCAAATTGAGAACATCATTCTTTTTTAGGTCGGTTGAAAAAAGTACGGTATGGCAAATAACACGAGAGGTGGTAAGTCTAGTAGATATATAGATACTATCCCAGGAGTCTTAATCATAGAGACATAATAAATTTAGTCTTAAAGGGGGAGAATGCAATAAAAAATCTGCTCTTTACAACGCCCTTGCGGGGATATCATATAATAAAGACCTATAATTATTAAGTATTCATATTAAGTAATAAATTTAAATTGAAATTGAACTAACTCGACGTATTAAATAACAATTCTTTGTCTACACTTTTTACTTCTAGAGGCAGTTCAACTTAATAGCTAATAAATATGTAATTTCGCGGATAGAGCAAAAATCCTGTATTGGTAAAAAACAGGAAAGGGATTTATCGTTATTATTTTGTTATTTCAGTGACTATAACTTCTAGATTTGCAGAGTAAGCATTAATTTATGTTATCTACGAACTGATAAGAATAGATTCCCGTAAATCACGCTAATTTGGTTACCACGACATTTACGCGGATTTGATATGACCACTAAATGACCGAAATGGAAACTCATAATCAAATTATATATCTTGCTATAATTGCACTAACCCCGACGTAATGTCGTGTAGAATCTAATGATAGTTGAATAAATATTTTATGGTATTTGTATACTCAACTCTTCCCAAAAGTTGACAATGTAGCAGGTGGACACGCCTAAATTAGAACTTCAGGACCCTGGTGGGTACAGCAAAAATACACAGAGATTTATATAATTTGAAGATTTAACAACTAAAATCTGCAAAAACCTTACAAGAAACAAAATACAATTTAAACAAAAAGACAATTCTTGAATCTCAAATAAAAACTATTGTAATACTATAGTATTATTTTGAAATATTAATAAATTGTATGTTAACTTAATACACTGTGTACATTAATTATTTTAATAGGAACATATTTATTGAATTGATATTCAATTATTTTTTGTGAAATTACTCCACTAGTTTGTTATAATTATTAATACAATTAAAGGTACTAACTGGGTGATAAATCTGTCAAAGATTTCTCATAGATGGCGCTACGACTAAAAAGTCGTTGAAAAACCAAGTACAAAGACACGACGCAAGCAAATAAAAGAATTCGTGAGGTCCGTTGGTTCGTTCCGTGGCTTAGTGGTATAGCGTCTGGCACGGTATGCAAGAAGACGTGTCGGTTCGAATCCGACCGGGTCGAAGGAATTTTTTCTGAGTGTTTTTTCTGAGTGTTCGATATTTGTATTAATAAGTATAAGGAACATATTTGTTTATTAATATATTATAATATAATATATTCCTTTTTCTTCCTTCCTTGTTCCTTGTCTCTATATTTTGGAGTTCTTAACAGGCGTGATTGAATGTTCGTCTGAATTTAATAAGGAGACCAAGTCACTAGGAGAAAGGACAGACGTGTTAATAAACATTGTAAAACGTAGTCCTAGGTACCAAACAACAAAAATGTTTAATAGTCTCCTGGCAGACTTTAAAATAGCACAGCATCCTATATCATTCAAAAAGAGTTTCAAACATTTCTTGTAGGAAAAATCATTCTATTGCATTGATGAATTTGTTGTTGGAGGCTTATTACTTTAATTTGTGTTTAAACGAGTTATGGATATCTAATTTGTCTTTGCTATGATTATTGTATTATTATTATCATTATTTTGCATTAATTACTTGTTCATAATATAATCTCAGTATAGAGTACTAAAAAAACCGACCTCACAAGTACGTGGAATTACGTCTATTTGCTAAGTTTTATTGAAATATCCCCTAGTTCACCACTATACAGGACTTGACACTGGAGATAATAAGAATCGGTTCTCACTACTCAAAGTATATTGAGAGAAAAACGCCTTGAATTGGAGAAATAGCAAAATCAACCATTAAAATAATTGCTGCTTAAGTAAAATTTAGGCGCTATTTATAAAAATGAACCTTCATGCGTGAACAACCAACCTTAGAGGTGGATGATTTTCTTCAAAATGAAATGGAACCACTATGGAAGTACCTCCTTTCCAACAAAACAAGAATCATGAAAATCGGTACACAAATACCGGAGTTATCGCGTAACATACATACAAAAAAAAACATACAGTCGAATTGAGAACCTCCTCTTTTTTTTAAGTCGGTTAATTAAATTATATCTGTAACAAAATCACACAACAGGCAAGAACTCATATTAGTTCCGTCACGCACCGCTATTTGGCATTGGCGTCGAAATAGCAAATTCTGCATCGCGGTGTTAAGATTTTCCCTCGCGGAATGACTACTGGCGGCTATGCGAACATGAATGTAATCATACTTACGACGCATCTAGCTCTGCTTCCTTGTTTGGAACTCCGCTTTAGATCGTTGTCGTTGAATCTACTGCACTGTGCTACGCTTCTAGCGCTGCTTACTATTTGGAACTCCGCTTAAAACGTAACACGTAGTTGTTGCACTCTGAGCCGCTTCCTAATTGGAACGCGCGTACGGGTCCTCAACTACGTGCCGATTAGGGGGAGTCCTTTCCCACTATACCACCGACCTTGTACATACTGTATATGTTGTCAAAATAAAACCATCATATTGGAAAAAACCTGGTTTCCCTCTGTCACCCCAATAAGAACTTATTACATATCTTATTATTTAGTACTAGATGTAAGTTTTTAATTATAAATTGTATTTTTTTCCAACATAATCTATGTTCTTAAGGAAATACATACCTACTTAAATATTATAAAGGTAATGTTAATATCTTCCATTTTATTTATTATATCACACAATATTTATATTAATTATATGTATTTCTTTGCGAAAATAAAAATGTCAATGTTTCGTGTGTGGTATTTGCTGTGGTAAGTGCGCATGGGACGCGCTCCGTGGGCTCCATATAATACCAGTACAGAGGCTGTTCTCATCCACGACATATGCTGAGTGGTGTCCATTCAAATTACTTTTTTATAATACATATAATACTTGTGGTAAGCGACACGCCTACCCAAATCAGTGGCAGTGCCACTCAGAGCTTTAAATCGCAAAGATCTTAATATCAGTCAGCATTGCCACTGCGCCCGTCACCCCGAAAGATAAGTTGCCAACTCCCATGTGTATGTAATTTTACCAGCACCCTTCCAAACCGGAACGCAGTAATGCTCACGTTACTGCTTGGCAGCAAAAATAGGCAAAGATCAAGGAATAATAAGCTCTACCGCTACTAAAAGTAGTATCCCTAATTTAATTTTAATTATTTATAAAATGAATGGTAATGATTACATTTTCTTTCTTTCTAATATAGTGAATTAGAGTATGATGTGCAATGTCCAACCCCGTATTAGATTATTATCTAATTTGCATATACGTTAAGCTACCACGTGCGAGTATCTTAGCGCCGGCGTGCGACTATTAAGTATTGCTTACGCGGTTGCGCCGGCGCAGCACGCCGTCATTTCACTCTCTATAGCCAGAGATTGTGTACATTCGGCGACCGTATTAATCAAATTGTACACAAATATTTTCTTATTTATTTATTTATTAATTTGGAACACCAACAGAGTTCACAGAAAAAATAAGATTAAGAGACAACATTTGGTAAGGCACAGTTCTTATGTGTAGGCCAATTACAGGTGTCCACGTCACTCAATATATACCCCGATACCAATATAATAATAAAATAAAAACAACTTTAAATATTAATAATCCAATTATTCATTAATGTACTAAAATTTAGGGTAAATAATTGATTATAAGATCGGAATAAATAGTTGGTTGGTGTAATTATGACAGTTAAATATTTTGTGAAAGATAAAAGAAATAACAATGAAAATAAATCATTAAGGTGTAGAAACACACAATTTACATTTAAATTTATAGAAAGAATCATTATAAGATATCAAAATTAGTTCAATTGCAATTATTAAATGTGTTATAAGAGTTCTTGTATACATATGACTTCAATTTCAAAATTATGTACAATTGTGAACATTTACTAGCGGTACATCTCATCTCAGAAGCCGTGGTAGCGAAATGGTTCGACCTACTGCTTCTCGAGCAAAGGGTCCTGGGTACGAATCCGGTCTCGCACCTCTGAGTTTCTCGGGATTTATGTGCCAAATTTAATTTGAAATGTATCATAATTTCCGGTGAAGGAACCCGCAAGTCGAAGAAGGTTCACAATCCTCGGAAAATTTGTGATGCCTCCAACCCGCATAGGGCCAGCGTGGCGGACTAAGACTCAAATCCTCGTCTGAAAAGAGACCCGTGTCCAGCAGTGGGACGTATAAATGGGTTGATAATGATGATAACATCTCATTAACTGTAACAGAAAACGGCATAATAAACCTGAACGTGGAAGATTCGCCTAATGGTAAACGTGTAAAATCCTATGGAAATCAACTCTAAACTCCCCTGTTAGAGAACACCTGTATCCAGACAATGCAATTTTTCTTTCTGGCCCCGCCAGTACTAGGTACACACACAAATATTTCTCCCGGCTATTGGTTGCCCGCTTATAACCTTAGCTCTCACTGCCCTGGGTTGGCTGGAAGAGATCTCTTTTAGAGATAAGTCCACCTTAGTACGGAGGGTATTTATTTAGCAATGCAGAATAATAATTTTTATTTATAAAAACTTGTATTTAAACTGAATGCTTTTCTAATTTGCGAAACCAAATAGCCGCCATTTTGCGGTAGGAGGTGCGCATCGCGTGAGCGGATAAAATCCTGAAAACAGATAAAACGAACTAAAACGAATAAAATATATAACTTTGTGCATAATATTTAGGAGATATTTCTCTTTAACGTACGTTAAACGTCGTTACTCCTTGGGTGCCCGAGGATAGAAAGAGACGGCGTGGACGGCCGAGAAGACGTTGGCGGGACAACCTTGATGGGTTTGAGAGAGAGTGGTGGGAGATCTCCAAAGACAGGAGGATTTTGGGGGAGAACTTTGCCCAACAGTGGGACATAATAGGTTAATTTAAAAAATTCTCTTTAGGTACTACAGACAGCCTGGTAATTTTTAATTTTCAACTGAAGCCCTATTAGTTATTAAATTCACATTTATCTCTGTTGCCTTATCAGTCGCCATCGAGCGCTTGTCGGTCACGGATCTGTGTCAAGTTTTCTCCACCTGTAGGGCTACCACGACTGTACGAAAGCGACAGAGCGCGTGATTTCGTTAGTTCTATTGTTTTTATTTTATTTATATTAATTTACAGTGCGCGGATTGTGGAACGCGAGGGGCTTAACCTCATAAAATGTATGCTCTCGTTGAAATATGTCTCCTTAACTTAGATTACAATTTTTTTATCAGTGAACTCGACGAACCGATTTGTTCGTTGTTCATGCAAGTTTTTAACATCTTTACCATCGAACACTGGCGACCATTAAGATTGGCCTTACAATTATTTATTAAAAAAATATAGCGTCGTAAAGAATCCGAAAAAATCGTATCATTTCCTACAGTAATCACGACCACTTAAGAAATCGATGCATGTATTATTAAGCTTTAAAAGTGATGTGATGTTATTTTAAAAACACTGAAAGAGTTGAGCTGTCAGTAAGTCATAGAGCTTTTATTAAACTGTAAAATCAACATAAAATGTTTAGCACCTCGGCAATGCAACCGCAACATTTTCCCAGTGGGGATATCGGGCATCACAGGCGCCGCGGAAAAAAGTAAAAACAGTATCGTTAGTCAATAATAACAACTCGCGCGCACCACGTTGCATTTTTTCCGATCATTTCTAATTCGGCCTCCGACGGAATCGGACGCTTCCTACTGGCCGAAAAGAAAATAAAAAAGTGTAACAAAAAACAAAGCGTTCGTGCGTTACGTTCGAATTTCGAAATAACAAATGACGCGCGGAAATTCAAATTTAACTTTTTAATTTGCGTATGATTAGTGGCTTTGGATACATGTAAATGAGTTTGGTTTTTATACGTTTATGAAGTTTTTTATTTGTAATTAATTATGTGGGTAGAATGAACTAAGTTGTCAGTGTGGTCGCGAAGATGGTGTCGCGTTGTTGGGTTGTTGTTGTATGTATTTGTTTTTTGGTGACATGTGTTACAGATATTGGTGCTTATAGTCCTAGAGGTAAGCTTATGAATTTTTAATATTTTGATTTTATTATTAAACAAATAAACATTTTATAATTTAGATAAAAGAAATGACTTGACAATATTGTTCAATGATCTTAATAGCTTTAAAAATCGACTCATCCATAGAACAAAGACCTATGTGCACGACTTATTATTCTTAGGACAGTGCACAATTAGTTAGTTGTTCTTCGCTGTGGATACCAGATCAACCGTTATTCGACTTTATATTTCCGAAACGAAATAAGATACAAAAATTCTGAAAACGCCCATAAATAGGTCTTAGTTTGAATAACGAGATTATGTGTTTGTCCTATTTTCGCTGTACAATTACATCGGACTCTGTTCTTCGGAAGAGTCGAAATATCTTATGTAAAGATTTATTTCTGAGAGATGGGAACCCGCTGTGACCTGACGCACAGACATTTTTAAGATCCCACAAAGTTATACTTACTGAAACCCAACGTTAAACTGTTCCTAATTGTAACGGGTACATTATAATGGAAAAATTCTCTATAATTTTACAAAACAAAGTGTTATTACGCCAACTTACGTTAGTCACTCAATTAAGCTCATTCCAATCTAGTCTATGATTTGAATAATAATAATAATTCAGTAACAACGAACTCGTCTATTCTACTTTGAAATAAGGGTCTTTCCCTTTATAGCGAAGTCGTTAGAATTCGTTTTTTAAAAGTCGATAAAATCCAGCGACAATGATTTTTATTGGAGACATTATTACTCTATTAACAGTTAATTCCGTTTAAAAAAAATCTATCAATATCGTTTAGAATACGATGTTTTTAGTATTAAAATGCACAATTACAATTCTGTGCCAAATTATTATTTAATATACGACTACTACTAATAACTGTAACGTTATAAATATACAATAAATCGTATGTTAATTTTGACCTAACTATTGTATTTTACTAGGTAATTATTAATTATTATAAAAATACTTTAAAGCATCCGGTATGAGCATCAGCTGTGGTTCTAAGTTAATTTTTTTATATCCGTAAAGAAAGATTAGATAAATAAATAAATTTAGTAGCCGGTAGAGCTCCTTGTCCAATCTGCCAACAAGTAGTTCCGGTTTTAAAGGTTACAGGTGCTCGTGAAAATATAAGCACATGAGATTGTCAACTTATGTCTCAGGATGACGGGCGCAGTTGGCTGTGCCCCTCAGATATTTATGATTTAAAGCTCTGAGTGGCACTGGAACTATTATGGCCAGGCGTGTCGCTTACCGCCAGGCGCACGATCGCGCATCGTCTCAGAACCGATTCCGATGTATAATGTCATTCAAGAATTTTAATTTATAGAGAAAATGTGGATGTACACGTGGGGAAAGGACAACCTAAACGTATCAGAGTAAGAATATTTTCAAAAACGGTCGTCCGAGAAATAAACTCTTTTTGAATAAACTGCTACAATATCCGTTTACTCGACAGTTTTACCTTCTCTATCTCCATTAACTACTATAATGCGCGGGCGCAGTTTTATAACATAATTTACCTCTTCTATTGGACAGATACGACAATCTGTGAGTTAATGGAGCGTTTTATTGGTCCATTTTGTGTTTATTCAGCTTTTCTAAAGCTATGGAACTTCCAGTATTATTTTCGAAGTATTTATGTACTCCTATTATTACAGACCCTGAAACTAAATTACCTAAATTACACCATATTCAACATAATATTATTATATTTATTAAAAATACTAAACAATATGAACATATTAGAAGCAAAATAGTAGCTGTAGATATCCACTGTAGAGCTTGTGAAAAAGTTTGTCCAGGGAAGTATTGCCACCTTATCTAATTCCTCCGGTTTTGAAGGGTAAGTCTGTTGGTGAAATTACAGGCACATGAGACTTGTCAACTTATGTCTCAGGGTGACGGGCTCAGTGGGAGTGCCCCTAAGATTTTTGCGATATAAAGCACTGAGTGGCACTGCGACTCTATGGCCAGGCGTGTCGTTTACCGCCAGTCACACGACTTTTTCCTCCCGCGACTGGGTATTAAAAATATATATAATAAATAATGTGTAGAAAACTAGAAATGTAATTTTATATTATATTATGAAAAGGGAGGATGAACGAATTGTGGATGTGGCGGAAATGCCATTGTTGAGATCGATGTGTGGAGTGACGAGAAAGGATAAGATAAGGAATGAGTACATCAGGGGAAGTGGCACCAGTGACGGAAAAGATGAGGAGTAATAGGTTAGCGTGGTATGGACATGTCATGCGGAGGGAAGAATGTCATGAATATAAGAGGAAAGGAAGGCCAAAGAAAAGATGGATTGTGTGAAAGATGACATGGATAAGAAAGGTATGAGTATAAAAATGACGGCTGATAGGGGAGAATGGAAGAAAAATACATGTTGTGCCGAAAAAGAAGTTATGTATATATTTTTAACAATTAATATTTCATAACGTCTTTTTTAATTTTTGCGTGTCGCCGAGCTAGATAAGCTGCACCTGTGACTAACCTGTTTATTAACTTTTATTTAACCAAGTCTAATGCAAATATCGTGACGTCCTTAATTTACAACAAACTACTAGAAAATATAAAATCACTACCTCAGTATTTTTTTTTGACGACCTCTGTGCTCGAGAGTATTCCACCTCCGTCACTACAGAGGCACACGCTAAGTGAGGCAAATTCGAAGCCTCCCAATGGGCCTACACGAGCGGGCGGGCCTTCATTGCTCAAGGTCAACTTGCACCGCGAACAGCTCCAGAGTTTTAGCTAAAAATGATGAAATGTGCGGTAAATGAGTGTAAAAATACGTCAAACAAACATAAAATAGATACTAACATCACATTCCACAAGGAAGTAAGGCGTTTCAACTTGTATTTTTATATAAATATTCATTAAAACCGAAAATTAACCTACTACTAAAACTAGCCTACATAAATTTGATTTTTGCCTCACTTGTGACAGTTCGTTTGATATGAAACTATTATTCTATGCGTTATTAAGATTATATTAAGATTATAATGTTAAAACTATGATGTTTTATTGGCAGCTTTGTGACTATTCACTCACTCAGTTCGTACTATGACGCGACTTTAACATTAAAGTAATATTGTTCTTATGTCAAATTTAGCAATCTTAAAATAGTTACTCGGTCGCAGTGGAAACAATATTATTTTCGAATTTATTATCTAAATATTGATTTTTAGTGATTAAAAGTTAAGTTGAACTTATTTTTTTTTAATTTAATAGTACATAGAAAATAATTTCTCGTTAAATAAAAATGCGCGATGTTTATTTTGTAAAATTATGACAGCGACATCTATATGCTCCTTGGTGACACTAACAGTTGACACTAGATTATAATTCCCAATTCACAGCGTGACTATCAAGGCTCAGCTTGTTTTATTTCTTTTTCTTCATGAAAATGCGGATAATTGAAAACAACGTAATTTTAATAGATTTTATTATTACATACTCTTCTTTTTTAACGTTTAATATTCTCTGAATGTAAATAACATTAAGTACTTAAACATTGTACTACGATAAGACTATACTATAAAGAGATGGCATTATATAGTTCATATAGCGTTATTTCTTTCCTATTTTTAGTAAGGAATAGACAATATTGGGAATCATCCGTTCTTTCAATCGCTTTAACAATAATACATTACTTAGTTGACAGGTTTGTCATAGTACGAATAAGAATAATATTATAATAAGCTTACTTTAAGCTTACATTGAAATAAGATGGTTTTTGGAAAAGTTAGGGTAGGCCCCCAGGTTACATTTCAAGGACAAAAGTACAACGAGTGCGGTAGAAATGGGGTTTTCGAATGTAGAAAAACTAACTTTTTTATATTATATCGGATCTGTCTGTGGTATCGTCGTTGTTCCCAATTTCCATAACACAAAACTTTAGTTACTTTGGAAACAGAGCAATGTGTGAAGTGTGTGATATTGTCTGATATTTATATTTCTATCTAGTTATTAGTCACATAAGAAAATGCCTGCATAAGATAGTCCGTCTTTACAGTACTTACGTATATAAAGTTTTAAAGTACAAATTCAAATTCAAAATCATCTGTTTAGATCACCGTTTAGTAGCAGTAGAGCTCTGTGTGACAGAGTTCGTTCAGGGAAGTAGTTTTATATTATAAAAATAGTGATAGACTTCACTATAATGCTAGGAATAAAAATAAACTAGCTGTTCTTTATAGTCTTCAGAAACTTACAAATTAATTCAAGGTGCAATTCACACGCTTCTATAATAAGATTCCCGTTCATAATCAAAATTTGCTATTTATTTTATTTTTGAAGTTTGAAACAGAAATGAAACAAAAAAATTGTACTAAACAGACTCCTGCATACTCGAATGACAAAAATTCGTGGCAGTGACCATGCAGGTATTTTCAATCTAAGGTGTTCAAAATAATAACGCACACACTCAACATACGCGAAACCCTGTGTCGCGGGTGCCATGGACACACTTTGACAATCACACATTACACCCAAACTCACGAGAGAAATAAATGTAGGCCATACAAATAAAATGCAATTTAACTGCCTAAAGTTAAATATTATAAATGGTTAAATGTATTCAAATGTAATCATATTTACGAAGAGCAACCCCTGGAGTTTCTTGTTCATTCTTTTCAGGGGAATCTGCCTTACGAATGAACAGTAGAGTTTAATCAGTATGAGGATTTCAAGTGTAATTTGCTTATTTACTTTATTAAGCAGGTTAAGCTCCGCTGCATACGCAGTCCGCCGAATACGTGAGCTTACCGATGTTCGTACTGCTAGACTAGTTTACTTTAGTTACTAATGTCCTACGGGATTCTCATGTGGGGTAAAGCGGCAGATATACAAACCATATTTGTGTTGCAAAAACGAGCGATTCGTTCTGTGTACCGTCTAGGCTCTCGGGTTTCTCTCAGAGAAAAGTTTAAGGAGACTGGTATCATGACTGTGGCATCACAGTACATTTACTCAAATATTTTATATGCTCGTAA